ATAATTTGTATAACATGGATTATTAAGTCTGACGATATAGAGTATCTTACAATTAAAATGATGTCGAAATCTTTCCTTATTAATTGTTGATCTTATGGTATCTGCACTGTTTATATCTTTACACCCTGCTATTTTTTCTAATTTCGAAAAAACGTTATTGATGACATGTGACTATTTGTTTGTTTCAAGTTTCTAAGAGGAAATGATGACAGGAACTCAGAAGTGAAGCATGTTGTTTATGGAGTGTTAACAAGATTCTTACGATTTCTGCCACAAACACACCAGGGTGGGGTGTGCATGAGACTAGAGGTGTTTGGAGTAGAAAAAGCGTCAAGTGAGTTGGAAACTTTTATATATTTTTACATAATTGCTTTCGTCATATCATTATTTTTATTATTATTATTATGTTTAATGAGAAATAACTTTTATTGAATCTAACATGAAAGTGTATAAAAAAATAAAAAAAATCTTGCAAGTTACAATTCTCCTTTTAAGGAAAAATATCACTAACCTAAACTACATAATTATATCGCTATGAATAATGAAATTATAATGTGCTGTTTAGGTAGTCTATATCTTACTTTAAGTCTCTTGACAAAGGAATACAAAGTCTTCAAAAGTTCAACGCTAAAGAATAATTAGAAAAATGTACTATAAAAATAATAAAAATGATCTATAACTGATGAGTTTAAGGAAGTCTTGCTCGACCCTTCTCTACTTCCAGATCCTTGTCCTTAATGTCTAAGTTTCTCCTTTTCGGAGTTCTAGATCCCCTTAGACATAGGAGCGCGCTCCGCAAAATTGCAAAGGACACTTTCGCTCTGACCCATGAAATTGTTGTGGCGTAGCTCTCTTCCTTTTATGCAGATAATAGCTCTGCTAATCTTGAGTGGTACCTCAGGCATTCGTCAGCTATCCCCCCCGTCGTTGTAAATACCAGTGAGGTGAAAGTGCCTTGCTCTACTTCTGTTACACGGGAGTTGTATTTTCGCTTCTTTTCATTTTCATGAATCCTGTAAATCTGCATGGGGCTAAGATCTCTGTATGAGTCTGTATTGGGATCACACACCCTGATATCGATAAAAGCAGCCCTCTGTCACTCCCAGAAACCCCTACAGTGGACGTTGATGCGTGCGTCAGGGGCTTGATTAGTCCCTCTGGGAAATTACTCGCCTGTAATAGGTTGTAAAGCCGGTTCCACCTGCACATCGTAACAAACCATGTCGAGCAGCTCGGCCTGTAGATCGCGTAGTTCATTGTGACGCTTAATGACTAAGCCTCCACGCTGGCAGATCATTGCGCGATCCACTGTAAACAAGCCCCCACAAACGCATACTGATGGTTATAGGGTATTGGCCAATCACATCGAAGCCTCACAGCGTCCCTAAATTCCCGCTTGTTGAGATCAAAATCCATGTCTTTGAGAGTAATAACTGTAAGCCAGTTGAATGAGTTGAATGCGCCTTTTCACAGGCCAGGTCTACGGTTTTCTGTGTCTTGTCTGGTGATAAGGCCTCCAGCTTCTCGAGCTTTTCTTTTAGTGTAACATCCTTTTCTTTCCGGATGACGTATACCAGTCGTTGTACCTCGGCCTCTTCTGGTGTCTCGTGGGATTGCGCCTCTATTTTGCTTACGAAGGGAGCGCTTACCCTAACGGACGCTAAATAATCCGCATCCGCAGTATCAGATGGATTAATGAGCCCAAGGTCTCTCATACGCACCAGTAATGCTACCAGACTACCCCCTTCCTCAGAACAGATGCGTTCTATGAGCGACGGTATAAGTACATCCGAGATTGCATGCTCTAAGGCTGTAGTAGGTTCTCAATATCCGGCAGTGTTCTCATAAAGTACTTCCACTGGTGTCGAAGCCCAAATGTGAATGCGGCATAACTAGCTTGTGGCTGAGATCTTGCAAACTCCGTCAACCTCGTCACTTCTTTTACCCACCCTTCTACCTTACTACCCACATATTTCTCAGGATAAGACCGAGAGCCCAGCGCAGCGCCAAGATGTTTGTGTCCCTCGGTGGTGATGTTCATACCAATCCCTGCAAACATTTCCTTCGCGTGGCCTTCCTTATCCGGCTTAACAACAAACAAGCATTTCTTGGAGCTAGGATAGTATCTAAGGGTCGGACCAGCCTCCCTCAACTCATCCCACCATTGCTTAACCTGCTTAGCCTTAACCATTATTATTATTATTATTATGACCGTAATTATTATTATTATTATCATTACTATTATTATATTGTAGAGCAGTCTAAGATACTCTTCTAATCTTTACTTTTTTAGTCTATTTTGATGACGTATGCTTGTTATTTAGATAAGTGTTTAAAATCTCAGAAATCAAAAACATCAAGACACCCATGACAACCTGTTATTCTTATGCTCAACATGGAATTAATTGCCAGTACATATTCACCCAGGAAACTAAATTTAAGTCAGAGGGGAACAGCTGAAGGAAAGGGCTGAATTTAAGTTTATTATTGTACTCAAAACTTTATTATGAAATGTTAAAAAATCTGAATGTCTTTAATTTGTGACCAATTGTAATGTTTGTGAGGTAAAGAATGCAAATTAATGGCTATGAAGTATCGGGCAACTAAGTTGAAATGAGAGTTGATCTACAGATCTTATTAAAGTTATTTGTTTGATTATTTGAATCACCTAACATAATTTGTGTAGAGATGCTCGTAGCCTCCTCCTGGTCCTCACTTACCTCTTATTTAAAAAGTAACGAAAACAACTCTGAAATCCACAGGCCCTGTGCTGACGCTTCCCGCGGCGCATGCGTAACACCGTAGATCTAATGTGTTTCNACTAAGCAAGGTCAAGGACGAACTTAAACACCACTAACCGTCGGTCAATAATGAAACGTGCCTGAACAATTCAAAACACTTAGTCAGAAAATTACTAATTTAAGTAGTTCCCCAACAGTTCTAATTTTAGTAGTTCATAGCATCTTTTTGAGTTGCTGTTTCTGGACGTTTTGTCGATGACGAAGACGTTCTTGATTCCACTTTGTAGCTTGCGAGCGCTGGAGTGGTCCGCTGCAAGGTAGATCCATGTTTGGAAAATTTCATCCATGCTCCTGCTATGGAAAACTAGGCACTCCATGGGGTTGTATTTAATCTTACGGTTACTGTCTGGAGAATTTTATACATGTGGCACAGTTTGCCGTCGGTTTCTTAATATCTCTTGATATACCTGGTCAAAATAGACAACCTACTGTTTTCAGAAGACATTTTCTGTTTCCATGTATCCTTGGTGTATGATTTGTAACATTTGCTGGCGGGGCTTACAGGAAATTACTAGGCGGTGTCCCTTGAGGATATGGCTATTTTATTCTGTCATCCCAGAGCTCTCTCAAGTCTTGGGGACATCCGTTCGGGTATTTTCGTCACCCATGGTCTACCACATCCTTTAAGTGGGCAAGTACACTATCTTATATTCATCGGTACACCCTGTAAGCTACGACGTTTTTGAATAAAAGTGTGAAGGCTGAGTTTAAATTATTACCTTATAGCTTGTGAATCAGAAGACATTGGTTTGGCCTCTGGTGGTACAATTCCAGACAGCAGCTTCTCTGCCTCCTCGTATTTCAATAGTGCCTATAAACCCTCTTTTGGTAGACTAAATGGAGCTAATCGGGGCTGGTCGCCCAAGACCAAGACCAATCTTGCTGACTTCCTACAAATTGACCTGCTATATGAGTACGTTATTTGTGCTGTGGCTACCCAAGGAGCTAATGGTATAAGCGAGTGGACAACAAACTACAAGACTCAGTTATCAATGGATGGTATCACTCCTGTCACCTACCAAGAAACCAATGTTGACAAGGTCGGTATATATGAAGGTCATGCGCAGATACATTAACATATCAAAACAGCCAAAAATATATGGGTCCTAGAACACTGATTCAATTTTTGAGTAAGGAGGAGGGACACAAAAGAAGTGTGTACCTGGTCAAGACCCAGTCTCAATTACCTTTTTTTAAGTAAGTTGCAAAATGTGTCTGGAATGTACATTGTTCGTTCCAGCAAAAGCACAAACCTATGTGCGTATACAGTTTATAGTGTATAAATGTAATTACATAGATCATTTTCAATATTATTTGAATATTAATTAGCCCACGTCTTGTGGACTTACTGACCATCACCTCTTAAATTTACCCTTTGATTTACGGAACTGTTTAAAACAACACACAGGAGATATCAACTACACTTATCACCCACACAGAAATACTAATCTTTGTGTGGTCATTGAAAAGGATGAGGAGTGTATCAACAGAACTGAGCGTATATGTAGGAACAAAATAATTTCACTTTAGTCAACTTGATTGCCTTTTGTCCTTTATGGAAACATCATGGAAAATTCTGTTCCCACTCAGGGTGTGATTGCAAAATGAAGTCTTCATACAATTTAGTGTTAAACTGTTCCTTTAATTTCTAACTTTTGAAAAAAATAAAACTGCCTGATTAATCAGGTCATATTATTTATTTCGTCTTTCTTTCCACCATTGTCATTCTTAGTGAACGATTTTTTACAACCGATGGATTATGTTCTATAGTTTATTGTTGTTGTTTTAAAGAAAATGGAGTATGTAATCGAGAACAAAGAACGCAGAAAACATTTTGCGAAAGTATCTCTTATTTTTCGATGTGTTTTCGAACCACTAGTTCTTTTATTATGATCTCTCACAAACTACATGTATCTCTCCCCAAGTTAGTTACCAGATATGATATGCAGGGTCACATACTGATCTGCGTTAGTTTTGTAAAAACCGAAACTAAGTCTGTCAATAGCATTAGCCATTACAGACATGGATATAGCTGATGTGTAATAGTGGAAATGATGCAGTAGAATAAAGAAAATTTTGATACAATAATTTCAAATTTGTACCACAAACTATAGGTCTTTCCCGGGAACTCAAACCAAAATGGCATCGTTAAAAACAATCTTCGTGAGTTTTCAAGTGCAAAGTTTATCCGCTTTCAACCAACAACATACCACAGTTGGAAGTCTCTGAGAGTAGAAGTTTATGGAGTACTTCTAACTAAAGGTATTTATTTAAAACTGAAATTAACATTGTCCAGATCAGTTAAAGAATTACTTAGTAGATCAAGTGATCAGAAGTACGCAAAAACTCTCTAAGGGATACCACCTTATCAGATTTAGGGAGAACCATGTCATCAGCAATGCGACAGTCTTTGTTAAAATGTGCATCTGTGAAACACTGGAATGATCTCCCAAAAGAGTTAAGAGAACTCAGGTCCTTATTCTTCGTTCTTTATCGGAATTTTATTCACCTCGACTTTGTCTCAGTCCATAACAATGTAAAAAAGGGAAAAAAAACTTAGCAAAATCCAGCCATCTCGACCTCACGCTTGGTAAATAACGCAAATGCATTGATAGAGCCTTAGTAAGATGAGAATTTTTTTGAAATGATTAAAGAGCTCACCATAAGAGAATTTGACAATCAATAACTTTAATTCTCTTTGAGCCTTACCACATCTACTCTACTGAGATCCTTCAGGTTCTCCATTTGCTAAATGAAACAAAGTTGTACTTACTATATTTTTATTCATACTTGATATAATGCAGTGTGTGATGTGATTGTTTGCATTGCAAGTGCATTGAAGATTCTGGAAGCTAGAATGTTGCCATTGCAGCACAATTGCTTGCCCAACTATCTGTAGAGCACATCTTCACGCTTAGGATATAAATAATGTATATCTAATGCATATACACAGTCCCCTCTGGTGATGATCTTCCGCACTGCTCTTGGGAACATTTAATGCTTTCTTAGTTCACAAGGATGATTAATTCACTTTCGCATCAATAATCAACAGAGAATAAAAACACATTACTGTTGTTCTTTAACATTTCAGTTCCCTCGCAACCTCCTACTGCCTTCAATTTGACTGCGAGCTCTTCTACCAGCATCACAGCTTCCTGGCAGTTACCACCAATCTTTGCCAGGCATGGAAGAAACATTACAGGGTTTAAACTGTTTTACAGAGAGAAGTGCTTTTCCGGGTCTTTTTCCTTCTTAAATATTACCAGTGAATCGACATTAAGCAGACTTGTGACTGGGCTCCAAAAGTACACAGAATATGAATTTCAAGTCCTAGCATATAGTTCTGATGGTGATGGACCGAAGAGCCCTGTCAAGGTGGAGAGAACACAGGGAGATGGTATGTGCTAGATGAAGGTGGAAGCGAAAAAAATGATCACAATTTTGAATGGAAGAAATTTCAGTGGACCTGCGAATGAAATTAAAGAAAGAAATGATCTCGTTTACAATTGAAGAAAGAAAGCTAGAAAAAGTTCAGGCTTCAAGAGAATTCAAAACCATGCCTCCTATAACTGGGCTATGAAGCCACACATTGAGAGCGAGGCAAGTTTTAGAGGCTTCTCTGTTGGGTCAACGTAAAATTCTTATTTGTTAATGGCTGCCCTGCTTCAAATAATGGAAGACTAGCACATTGGGGCTTCCACGGTGTCCCTGTTAGGTCCTCTAAATAAATTACGGCTCCCATAGCTGCAAATACTTTGGAAAACAGCTGCAAGCCCCCATTCTAAGCCAGTGGGTCTGTGTTTCCTGGTCATATGTCAAATTTCGCACATATTTTTATTAATTTTTTAGGTTGTGTTCAGAATGATCTTGGAATGGAGGGTAGAAACATTCCAGATAGTAGGATAACTGCTTCTTCTTCCAGGACACCAGCTGAGAATGGTCGACTAAACTATGTATTAGGAGCACCATGGTGTGCAGAAACAAATGACACTAGCCCTTATCTACAGATTGATCTACAGACACTTCATATAATCTGTGCTGTGTCCACACAAGGGAATTCTAAAGCAGATCAGTGGGTGAAGAACTATACACTACAAATATCCACGGATGGGACAACTTGGACAGACTACATGGAAGGTGGACAAGTCAAGGTATGTAGGAAATCAGTATGAGACTTAAATGCTCAAAAAAACTACAGTGTACATTTATGACTGTAGCATGGACTATAAGGTCTGATAGTGTAGAATATCCCCCAAAGATGGAAGTCCTAGATAGAATTTTTGATCTTATTAATAATCATTTTGGCTGCTAGTTACATTGGTGATATTTTAATCCCTGCCACTTTTTCAAGTTGAAAAATTAGTTTTTGATGATGACCTGTGACTATTTGTTTGTTTCAAGTTTATGAGGGGAAATAATGACAGGAACTCAGAAGTGAAGCATTTTGTTTATGGAGTATTAACAAGATACATGCGTTTCCTGCCTCAAATGCACCAGACTGGGGTGTGCATGAGAACAGAGGTGTTTGGAGTGGAACAAAAGCCAAGTGAGTTTGAAACTTACTTTTACTTATTTTTGCATGCTTGCTATTACCATGTTGTTATTAGTTTTATGTTGTAGGTAATCAAAAAAATAGTCACAGGTCATCATCAATAACTAATTAAGTATTAGCCTCTTTATATTTTATTCTTTTAATTTAGTCTTTAGTTTTTTATAGAGTGTTTCCTTTAATTTCGATTAAGACTATTTATCATGATGCTAATCACTAGTTTATACCAACCAGTCTATCAGTTTGCTGATTAGTTTTATCAGTTGAATAAAGCGTATTATTATTATTATTATTATTATTAAGAAACTCTTTTAATCTTTAAAAAGGTTTTTTGAGACCTACTAGCTTTTCTTTGGTGATTCATGGTTGTGTTTTAGATTAGTGGCTAAATTGTACAAACTACTGTTTCTACACTCATCAAAGACACCAAGCCACCCAGGATAATCTGTTATTCTCATGCTCAGTGTTGAATAAGCTGTCAATCAATTCATC